TTAAAGAGATCAAATAAAGTGAACTGAACTGAACTGAACTGAAGGCTCAAATCACGTTGGAGACGTTTATTAAAAAAGTGCGAAGTGAATTATACATTCGTCCCTAGTATTGTAGCTGCATGTTGCACCCTTCACAACATTATCGAGACAAAAAAGGATAAATTTTCATTAAACTGGGCAGAAGAAATTGAAAAAGCTGAATTAATCTTTCCTCAACCAAAAAAAAGAGGAAGTGTGCATCAAGACTCTTTAACAGGAGATAGTTTAAGAAATCATTTATGTGATTATTTGCAAAACAATTTTCCTTTAAGAGTTTCAAGACAAGCTGTGAATTAGGAGTTTTATAATTGCTTACATTTATTAGTTTAGTTTGTTTATTCTTTCAGCAATATAATTATTTCAATAGAAACACAGCTGTTATTTTGTTGTGAAATGCCGAAAACTGGTTTCAAGTGAATTTATAATTTTTGTATTTTGTCATGGAATAAAGTTATTACGGCTCAGAGTTCCTTATATTTTTTATCCCATCTTTATTACAGGTGTTCCAGAAAATAATACTAAATTAATTTTATAAGTTTTGATTTATTATTTTTGTTACATCAGTTGTCCGAATCTGAGGTCTCTGAGGATGATGAAGAGGGGCAAATTCTCGTCCTTTTTTGTCTGCTTTGGCTAGAGCTTTGGCTAGAGCTTTGGCTTGACCTCTTCCTCTTACCAATCACTTTTGTTAATCCTTCGAAAAACTCTTTAGTTACTTGTGATAGAAGGGCGGCTTGACCCTTGAGGAGCTTATCTACGAAAGCGTTGTCCCTTTCTTGTGTCACTTATAGTCTTGAGAGACTCCTCAATGGATCCTTTAATCTCTGTTATAGTTTTTATGGTTTTAGATGGAGTGATACTCTTGCTTCTTCTTGGAGTAACAGTTCCACTCCCACAGGCGGTTTCTACAAGTGCCTCTTCAGGTTTCGCCTTGGAGCTTGAAGGTATACCTGGTTGAAAGGCCTCTGCAAATGTAGGCTCTATTGGTTCCAGAGAGCCATCCTCTGTCACTACAAACTCTTCTACTTCCACAATCTGTTCTAATGCCGCGTTCGAGGCCGCGTTGTTGTCTTCATCGGTAGACGTAGCAGAGTCCAGTATCTGCGAACTTGAATCAACGCCCTCCATGCCTGCTGCAGGGCGATCCCCGAACAATTCATTCAACTCCTCAAAAAACAGGTTTTTCTATCTGACCCACTGACTTCATTTCGTCTCTGTACTTTGTAGTACCGTAACTTGGGGTGAATTCGAACGCAATTTCGAGATTTTTTTCAAATTCTGACGGTGTTCGACAAAAAAAAATTATGAAAATTAAAATATATCATTATTAAACCTTCCTTTAGACATTCCCAAAAAAAAAATTAATTTGAAAAATAATTAGTATTTTTTTTTAATTAGTAAATGTTGTTCGAATTCGCCCCTATGGGTGGGGCGAATCCGAACAAAGCTTTAAATGACACAAAATTGTTATTTTAGCCTTCAATAAAGGTAAATTCGAACAAATTAAGTCTTTTTTAGACCTCTAAATAGCTTTAAAAAGGGGAAAAAAAAGTTTGGCATTATATTTTTATCAAAAAAATGCTTTATTTTCTTATAAGGATTACAAAATAAACTTAATTCTAAAAAAAAGCATAGAATACATACTAGAAACAAAAGGAACAAAAATTCTCAAAAGGAACAAAAATTCTTAAATGTAAAAAAGGAACAAAAATAACTTCTAATGAATAAAGAAAAAAAGATCAAAGTTTACTCAATAACATAACCTTTGGGTAAGTTTTTGAACATAAAACGATTTCTGCGAAGGTCCTTTGGTGCAGAAAGTTTCATAACAATATCACTTCTGTTTATTACAACCTCATCTTTTACATCTGGATAGAAAAAATAACTTTCAAGCTTACTAGACTTTTTTTGTCTTAAAAAATTTACAAAAACAGTCTCAGGCTCCTGAACAAAAACTTCAATAATTTTACCAATAAAAAATCTTGTAGTTTTTTTAGGACATTTAAAGCTTACTAAAATATAGTCATTGGCACTTAAGTTTTGGTCAGTGATATCTTCAAAACTAGAGTCTTGTTGGTTATTAGTTCCTGGAATAAACTCATCCATGTCAGAATGATCATCTCCATTTTCTTCCATGTCAGAATGATCATCTCCACTTTCTTCCTTGTCGGACTGATCAGATTCGATAAGAAACTCGTCGCCAGTGCTGCTTTGTTCTCTTGAAGCTGAAGTTTCACCTAAATCTCTTGCTCTTATTCCTTTTCCTGGTGCTACATTAATTTTTTTGCCCCGTTTTATGTTCTGTTTGGTTTCCAGAGTCCTTGATTCTTTCATGAAATTAACAAAAGTTGAACTCCAGCGTCGATCGATTTCAGCCTGGTTTTGCTGTTGTTCCAGTTGTTCTTCTGTTAGTTTCGGAAGTTTATTTAAAACAACATTTTTATCACACGGAATTATACCGCTAGCCCTGAAACCGGAAATGATGTTTTTTGCAGCATTAAGCTCCACATTGTCCAATAATTTCTTTAACAATCTTGGAAAATCGGACTTAGGGAGGACGCCTCTATTTTTTTGCTTCCATTCCGTCAGTAACTTTCTCCAGATTTTTTTGAATGGAGCAAAGAAAGCTACATCCAAAGGTTGTAATAGATGGGTGGCGTTAGGCGGCAAAAGTATAAACTCGATGTTGTTCTGTTCGCAGAGTTGTATAACTCTGATTGAAAGGTGACTGGACAAATTGTCACCAATTAAAATTTTTCTACCTGTGCATTTTCGAAAATAAGGTAAAGCTACTTTCTCAAACCAGTCTTCGTAAACGGCGCCTTCGAACCAACCACTTTTGGTGCGATTGTACACTGCATTATCAGGACCATTTTCTGTCCAAGTGGGGTAAAGATGTTGTGCTCTATATACAACATAAGCAGGCAATAGTTTTCCAGACCCAGTCGCTGCAACCATTATAGATGTGCTGGATTTGCTAGAATCTAATATTCTATTCACATATTTCGTGCCCCTTTTACAAACCACTTTGGTTCTTCCAGGGTCGTCACATAGATTTGTTTCATCATAGTTAATTATGTTGCATGCTGGCACATCCTGTATATTTTGTGACAAATTGTCAAAATAAGCATGAATAATTTCAGGAGACAACTCAGCTCGACAACGCTTAATGTTTTGACACATACGTTCCGTTAAAACAGGATTTCTTTTCAAAAATTTATAAAACCAATCTAGGCCGGGCATGTTTTCCTTGAAACACTTAACTCTCTTACCTTGGGCATCAAGGAATTGCTTCACCAGCGTTCGGATGTCCATTCTTGTAAGGGGAAAGCCCCATTCTGCAGCCTTTTCAATTCCAGAACGAAGACTAAGCTCTTCTTCTTGGCTTAACGCTGTAAGACCTCCAGGACGCATGGGATGTTTATTTTTTATTTTGTTGCAAAGCGTTGCTATTGGCACTTGAAAAGCCTCAGAAGCACTCCTGTAAGTCATCCGTTTGCTTCGCACAGCTTCTATAGCTTTTTTTAGCGCAGAATCTGAGTAATTGCCATAATGCTTGGCTCCCAGCACCTTCTTATATGTTCGAACCATGTTCGAATTCGCCCCTCTGCAAGTAAATTTTTCGTATTTTTATTTTTATAAATTACGCAATTCAAAAAAATCAAAAACTGGCTAGTATATCATGTTAAGGACATGTCAGATTATTCTTCTAAAAAGTTTTAAATTGATATATGCGATAGAGCCAAAGTTACAGGTGTTTGTTTTCAACCTAACCAAAAACTAACCAATTTTATATAAAATTGTAAAATTCACCACGTGTCTACTTACTGCTCAACTAGCGTCCTACCACCACTAATACGCTCGGCCAACTGCCTACTTTGCGATCTACCATTTGAAAATATACGTTAGAGTCGCGAGATCCCATTGGTTTCAAGAAAATCTCAAGGACGACCGGTTGTTCGAATTCAGCAGACGTGTTCGAATTCACACCAAGTTACGGTAATCAGCTGCAAACAAAACAATCAGCATTATTTTATATTTAAGTAAGGTGCAGAAAGCAAAGAAAAACATATAAATGCGAACCTATAAGGGGACAAAGAATATTTTCTGTCTGTTGGCTTATTCCTCTCCAAGTAAAAAAAAAGCATTTAATGTTTTTCTATGACACATACAGACCGCAATAAATCTTAGCTTGAAACTTACCTTTTAGGTTCTTGAATTTAACTTTTAATGAGGCGGCGTCTCTCTGGTACCCATTGTCTTTCATCTCTTTTTCGAGGGACTTGAATATTTCTTGGGCCCTGAAACGTTTCCCATCCATTATTTTCAGGATTTTTTTCTCCTCAATAAGATTAATGAAACAAAGTGTTTCCTCTTCACTCCAGTTCGGCCTTCTCTTATTTTCCTCCATTTTCCATAACAAATACAAGCACCACAGAACTGTTTGTACACAGACAACAAACCAATTGAAACAAGGGCCAAGCCGGCAAAGTAACCTAACCTTGATCTTTCTTCATTTCCTCTAAGTCATTTCCCAACCCTCAAAAACGAAAACCAAACTTACCGCCAATAACCAGCTGATACTTTGACAGTTAATGTTTGTTATTCTCTGAAGCTAGGCACATTGGTCGCGCACGCGCACATAACTGGCTTAAATACGGATTAAATAGTAAATGTAATCCAATTTTTCGGATCGATATAAACACTTGGGAATTAGCCTAAATTTTAATCCTTATTTAAGTCAATCCACATTTAAGCCGGATTAATCGTGTGAAATAAACGTAGTCACAGACAATACAAATACAGATAATATATTACATATTATGTTCAGTTTCATAAACAAGCTGCATGATTTTGATTTCTACTTGGCACCTTTCCCTGTAAGGCAGTCTCCTTAGGCTCTCACCTAGTCTAAGCAAGAACCCATCAACCCCATCAGATTCGTCCGAGGTTGTTAATGTTTATAAAATTTGCCTTTGAAGTTCTGTTTTGCCATCAGTTTTCATTCCTTTAAATATAGGTAAAGTTAATTCAATTCAATTACAAAAACATAGGTATTTATACATGACTTAGAAGATATTCTTACCATTCATATAAAAATAATTAGGTGCTTAATTTATTGTCTCAGAATATTTTTGCAATAAAAAATGGCTAAAATACTTTCTAGCCTTAAGAATGTTTAAAATTTATCACTTACGTTTTGCTGATGGGGTTGGCAGTGTAGGCACCACAGGCACCTCATTAACAGGAGAGGTTATGGGCGTCACTACTTGGGAGTTTGCGCCACTTGTTGAAGGAAGGGGACTTGCTGCGGGATTCTGCATTGGAGACATGGTTACTGAGCACACTGTCCTGAAAATTATACATTATATATGTTCCACATTGCATTAGTTATATTTAGAACTATTTACCTTTGTGAGCTTGCCCCATCATCTATAAACTTCAGCAACTCATAATAGGAGAAGCCAGGATTAGGTGGTGCAGTGGCCTCTGAACCGCTAGGCTTGTACTCTTTCACCTTTTTCTTAGCCCTCGTGTAGCAGTCTCTCAAGTATTTCCACTTTTTCTGCAGATCTACCACTGCATATTTGCCTCCAAACAAATTTGCAATTTCACCCCAAAGGGCCATTTTCTTGGAATGCGTCCTGTCTAACAGAGGCAATCCAGGATTATATAGCGCAGGCCGTTCTTGAATATATTTAATCAGTTGTTCTTCAAATGATGTATTTGCCTGGGACCCAACAGTATCTCCCGTAGCCTTTTCAACTAAAAAATATTTTGAAAATATTACCTTTATATTTCTTACAGAGCAAATGCTTGGCTACCTAGTAGAGAATAAAGCATGGAGGTTTACAGCAGATTTGTTATTAGATCTTTGCAAAAAAGATTTTTTTTATTGTTTTGCATCTATTGTGTTTTTATGAAACAAATTGAAACAGGGCTCTATTTCACAACTCACCAGTTGACACTTTTACCAAATTGCAAACGAAGGGATAATGGACATATTATTTAACAGAAGAATATTTCTTTATAGTAATCTCTATATTAATTTTAAATCAACACAAGGTTTTGAATTTTTGAAACTAAAAGAAATATACAGGGTGTCCGGAAAACAGCGTAAAAACTCTTCACTGCGTGGTGGAGGACCCTTCAAGGAACCCCAGAAAAATAATTTTAAAAATCTGGTGGCATTCTTAAGGAAGTTATTAGCATTTCGATGTTTATCGAGATGTTTATTAAAATTGGCAACACCGAAAATATCACCCAATATTTTTTCCGGACACCCTGTAAAAACTTATTGCTACTAACCAATGGTTAAAACCTTCCTGTCATCTTCCATCAAATCGTGCTCTCCCTCTATGAAAATATCTTTTTCTACTGACGTTTCATAATAGCAACTTTTCGATTGTCATTTCAGTTTTGAAACGACATTCTTTTAGGCACTGAGTGCGTGAAAGTTACTTTTAGGCACTCAGTGCGTAAAAGTGACTTTTGAATGCGTAAAAGTGACTTATGAGTGCGTAAAAGTAATTTTTAAGCACTAGTGCCTAAAAGTGTCATTCATTATTCAGAAATAAAAAACACACTAAACACATATTTGAATTTTGTTTTGTATTTATTATGAATATTGAAAATGGAATTACTGAATTGAACGTTTGGGTTACTCAAAACAGAAGTTTGTGTTATTACCTACTTTCTAGGATTTTAATTATTGATGTCGAATTTTGAAAAGAAAATCGCATGAAAAGTGTCAGGTGTCAAGTAAAAGCAGGTAACAAAGATTTTGGGTGTATTCACATGAAATAAAATTGTGTTTTTTATTATAAAATGCCAGTAGAAAAAATCTTGTATACAATACGTTACGAAACGATGTCTTTTAGTCACTCGACGTGTTGTCCAACTCGGCTTTGCCTCGTTGGACAATTTTCACGTCGCGTGCCTAAAAGACGCTCATTTCGTAACTTATTGTATAAATAGCTATTCAAGCACTGGTGCTCCAAAAGATCTTCGCATTGCGAATTCAGCAGGAATCCACAGTAGCCGCACTTGTACAACTAAAATTCAAGAACATTATTTTATTTCTAGTCTAAGCAATTTATTATCATTTTTGTTCATTCTTTTCACATTTTTTAAATATTTTAGTTTTATACAGTGTTCAGTTGTAGGTATCATTCATTATATTCTAATTTTGTGAGCATGTAGGTAGCAGACTTAGTTCTGAGATAAAAAATCACAAAGGTGTTAGTTTGATATTATTGTTTCCACGTCACAGACCTAAAAAATTATTTCACTATGTAGATATATCAAGGGTCACTTTATTTTGTATAAAATATGTCTATTCTGTTTGAAATTTATGTCCACATTAATTTGTATAGGTATACCTAAGTTATTGTTTGACTTTGACTAGCCGACTAAAGTATATTTTATTAACTTCTTCAGATAAAAAGTCTCTCCTCTATGCAGGATGCAGGTGTCTAGCAACTATACCTACTACAAAATTCTTGAAATGATATGCAAACTGAAGTTAAAGGCAAGAAAGCAGGGATTATTTGAGGAAAGAATATTTTGTTAGTAATTTATTTTGATGGTACTTACCTCATCCATCCTTCTTAAATGTATTATGTAAAATTACACAAAATATACAGGAAGTTTATAAACGTCTCTCAAATTCGATAAATAAATCAAGAAAAATCACTTATAAACAAAAACAAACGTGGCGTTTACGCTAGAAAAGTTAACTTCAGCTCAACTTTCCCGCGTATCTTGGGCGTACGTTTGACAGCTCAAAGAACATGGCGTCGCGTAAATCACGTGAGATGCTCCAACCAATCAAATCACAGAACGCCAGAAAACGCCGCGTACAATGCGCTTTCGATACGCTCATGAGGACCGGCCATGATGCTGTTTGCTGTAAAATGGTGTTTCAAGCGTTCCTCGTAGATTTCCCAGTCGTCGGATTCGTGGTGGAATTCGCTGAATTTTGGCACGGCGGACGCCATCTTCTTTACCACGTTTTCGCGATACTAAACTTCAATTTTCGAGATTTTCACGGCCGATCGCGTTTCCTAATTCTCCTCGTCGCCACTGAAGTGTCTTGCGGTTTCTTTTTAATAAAACTCACAGCTACTTTATGATACTTTATTATTTCGGGGGCACAAATTTACATGGGCGTAATAAATTATAACTTGTCATTAAAAGGCTAGTTACCGACTGCCGTCACATTCTCCGACGGGCCAGCTTCACATTCGTCCTGGTATCGCATGCGCGTTTTCCACCCTATAATGTGGCATGGTTGCCACATATATAACACCGAGTACGATTATCTTCTATTCTATTCTCCGTCGATTGTGCATGTTCTGATGGCTATATAAACCAATTCTGGAGCCGCAAACTCTTCCACAGTCTTGGCCCACCCAATCTCAGACAGCATTGTCTCTTCCTCTGATCTCTCGCTCCTTCCTGCGTTCCCTCTTTTCGGTCTAGTGTCTGCGTCGCTGTTCTTCAAAAGTTTGTGGTCCATCGTGGACTACTCGACTCCACAAGGGCCTACCATTTGTCCTCGACTCCCAGTTGCTGATATCAATGTGGCACTTTGCCAAAATTTCCTTTAGAACATCTTTGTAGCATTTTTGTTGACCTCCTTGATTCCGTTTCCCATCTTTCAGCTGGCTGTAGAGAATCTGTCGTGAAAGACGTCTTTCGGGCATGCGAACGAGGTGACCTGTCAAGCGAAGTTAGTGCTTGATGATAAGGGCTTCCAAGTTAGTTGGGTTGGCCTCCTCTAAAACACTAATACAATGTTCGTTCGTCGGTCTGGCCATTTAATCCGTAGGATCCTTCTTAGGCATCGCTGGTGGTATTTTTCTAGGCTTTTTATGTGTTTTCTGTAGGTGGTCTATGTTTCGCAGTTATTTATGTGAGTGTTGGTATTACAACTGTATTGTAGACACGAAGTTTGATCTCAGCGCTGATGTCGTGATTGTTGCAAACTCTGTCTAGAAGTCGCCCGAACGCCGCGCTAACACACTTCAAGCAATGTTTGATTTCAGCGTCAATGGTTGCCTTCGCTGACAGATGGCTCCCGGGTAGTGTCCCACGTTCTGCAATGTTTTCTGTACACTATAAATGAACAAGTTATTCCACTCAATGAATACCTGAATTTCGAATTTCTTCCAAAAAGAGTTGAATTAAACACCAACACAAACTATAATTTCCGGATAATTTACAATATACTGTCGATAATATGGAGTGCGGGTGTGTTTAATGAATGCTATACGTTAGCATGATGAGTAGGTCTATATCAAAACTATAAAATTCATTAAATTAATGAGTAAAGTTCGTTAGTTATAAAGGTTCATTAAATCAATAACACATACGTCAAGCTGATGAAACATATTCATTAATTAATGAACTCTTGATCATTGATTCGATGCATAACTTCATTGGCACAATGAAGAAAGTTCCATAAGCATGATGAACAAACTTTTTGGGATAAGAAATAATCATCAGTACAATGAATGTGGTTTATGAACGATTATTCATAAAATCAAGGAATAAAATCACTGGTCTTCAAACAAAGTTCCTTGTACTGATGAAAGTGTTCGTTCGATCAATGGAAAATAAAAATTCACGGGTTTTATGATAATAATGAAATTAATTCGTTACATTAAGGCATGAAGTAATTAGGCTATGAACACTGATTAATTGGATTGATGAAATATTTCATTTAATTAATGACAAAAAAATAACAACCGCTATTCGTCAATATTATGAACGATTTTTTTTTTCAGTATTCTCGTAGTATGAACTTATTTTTGCAATATAGTTAGTTGCTATTCGATAAGTGCTTAGGACATGAATATTTAGGCTGTTAACGTTTATACTTGAAAACCATTTGTTCATAGATTGAATTGCTTCTCATCCTTGATTCTGCGAAGTTGATTATTTATTTTTTCTTCAGTAGTATTGAAAGTTGATAGTGCGGAGATCATGAATTGTGTCTGGTGATTGGAAGCTTTTATCAACATTTCTTGATTTTTGTTAATATTATTTATATCTTCGTAGACCTCATCGTTGAAGCCAAAAACGGACGTCAGAAAGTTTCCCAGTAAACCTATTTTTGGACGTAGTTGTATTTCTTGGAGGGTCTTAAATATCCAGCTAAAATGTTGTTGATCTTTTAGATGATGGTCCAATATTTCACAGTGCGTTTCTTCCAAAGACCTATTATCACAGATAGACGGATTTATAAACAAAAATATGTGTTGACAACATGTCCGATTCTTTCTATCTTGACCAAATTCCCCCACTAATAAAATGCCACATTTAGTCGTAGGAATATTTATTTTCCCTTTCTAACGCAGGTATAAAGTCCTGCCTTTCAATTACACTTGGCAACACAGCACTAGACTAAACTCGGCCTCCTGATTGTCGAAGTAATACGAATACGTTCCGTTCTCGCCCAGAGTATCTTGTTGTCTCTATCTTATGCGATGATGATTAGTATATGTTAAAAAAAGACCGATACATAAGATATGTTCGTGTTAGTCTGGGAAACTTTTTGAATAACATGTTGTCAACACGACAAATAGTATTTTATGAATGGAATACTCTGTCTATCTGTGATTATAGGTCATTGGTTTCTTCCGATAGGTGTGTTGTCTTTTAACACAGCATGTCAAAATTACGATGCTAGTTACATTCTGGATGTCTTCCTTGATTTTTGTTCTGTTGTGACTTCCATTCTAAATTATCTTCTATTTATT